GCAGCTGATACGCAGCAACAAGGCTCAGCCGTAATCTGTGCCTTACATGGAACGGACTTGAGAAGCAACACGGCTCTGAGTACCGCAGGCTCGGCGCGCCAAATCTAGTGGTCGAGCGGTAGGCATGTTGCGTATGCCAAGCTGCTTGTCGCCCTGCAAACTCGCATCCTGTCGGCCGAACTCTGTTTTCGTCCATGGCTCGTTCCCCTGGACTAAGCTTGACCTACCTTCACCATTCTGTGTTGAAGAATTCAGAATCGCCAAAATCACCTCCGGCCACTACGAACTCCAGCGCAATGGGAGAGGAACCAAAGATCATCGCCAATGTGGCAGGTTGCCCCCCTCTTCCTCAGGTTGTGTTCCAGGCTTCAGATGGGCTCGCCAACAGCGGCACAAGTCGTCAGATTGACTAACTGCCACCGCTTCTGTCAACGCATCACACTTCTTAGCCACCCGCGTCGTACCCAGCCATCAGTGCTGTTCGCTTGGATCGGGATCAAGCAAAGCGGCATATCACGGGAGGTGAGGGTGTGCTCCAAAGGCTTGATGACAGTCCTGTTAGCCAACGACCTGTTTCAGCAGACATTCGAGACTGGTATTGTTCCCCCACGCTTGTCGTGACTGCTGCACCCCTCAAGGAGAGACGGTGAATGGCTCGCTTATTACACTACTGCAGGTGGCCCGAAAGAGATGTTTAACACATAGCGAAGTGAGCCAGGCCTTGGCGCTGGTGCTGCTACGCCGTGCGGAGGAGAGGAGTGGATTGTGGGAAAAGGGGAGGACGGACGGATCATGGATCCTGTCAGTCGACCGTACCAACCCGAGCGAGCACATGTTCTGATCCCCGCGGAGGACTTGGCGACCGAGATGCTCCGAAATGAGACCCGGAATCTTGTGTCAGTGACCGACAGTCCGACAGTCGGCTCCAGAGGCTGATATGTGCTTCTTAGCCGGCGGTGCTTGAGCCGCCAGTGGGCACACGTCTCAAAGAGGCAAAACCGGGCGACTTAAAAGTTGAAAGATGTTTGACGGCCAGGGCGGAACCGGGAGGAACGAACCTCGCGAAATTGGAGGGCTGTCTTCCGTCCATTCTTCCATAGAGTACGTCTTCGTCGGTGTGGTATTTGGACATATACCAAGACAACGGCGCCTTGCTCGAGCCTCGATGTTTCTAGCGGCTTGTTTGACCCTGCTACACATCGTTGGCTTGGCTGAACTAGAAGTCTCTCGCAACTGCCGCTTTCAACCCCCAACTTGCCCCCATCCCTGGGGATGGGAAGTTGTTGGGATGGCGTCGCTGAAACTCAAAAAATGATACCCTCAGGAGCGCACATCGGATTGGACACGGATCTACAGACATACGAGGCGGTTGTCGCGTTGAAATACCACCTGGAACAGTGAGCAGCAGGTCTAGACTTGGCCGATGGTAGAGAAGACGCGTCTCGTTCGTGGCTTATTCCATGTCTCGCGCTGGCTCAAGGCGCACCTTGCAGTTTTTTTACGGATTACCTAGCACTGCACCCGATACCAGGGGAGTGTATCGACGAAGTTTGGCATGTCAAAATCAGCAAAAGATGTTCACGCCTCATCTCAAAATGGACAGCCAAGGAGATCTGCCGGGTTATTAATGTGATTATCGATTCTCGACTCTCAACAATCAATGGTCCGAATGATGGGTTTTTGCCTTTCGAAGTTGTCCCTATTCAACTGCTCTTTGTACAGATACCGATACCTTAACTAAAATGTGGGGAGCGGAGTCTCCTCCTCTTGAGATCTGCCATATTATCACAGTCTGTTAGTTGAGGCGAAGAAGCTGTGTCGATGCTGGGCTGGAATGGGTTGAGTACCTCATGGGATTTCTGACAGCTGGGGACGTGGCTGGCTAACTAGCCAAGCCACGCCGTGGGATCAGTTTCGGACGGGATTCACCGTACGGGAAAGCATGTCAAAACGGGCTCGTTCCTCCAATCGAAGCTCCTCCTTTGGCAATCCACCACCGCCAACATCGTCACCAGCCTCTCCAGTCTCCATCTCTGAGTCTCTCCCCCGAACTTGGCCCCGTTGCCCTTCCGCCCGCTCAAGCCCTCGACAACGGGCTCCCGCCAAGCCAAGTGGCGGTGAGCTAAAGGCCCCCGAGAGCCCTGGAGCTCGTCCGCCGCCCTTCCCTTCGCTTCACTCTAATCCCCGTCTACAGCAGCCCCTCACTGGGTGCATTCACCTCTCGGGTCTTTTGCAGCATGTTTGACAGGGCTAGCTAGGCCCTGCGGTGCCAGCAAATGTAGTGTGAGTCGACAGCTGCTACCGCCGCTGCTGCTGGTAAAAGGGGCTGGAAATCTCGCTTCAATGCTTGCTGCATCCTCAAGCTGGAGATGCAAACGACCTATTGGAGCTTCCACCAGCTTGATCCCGGGGAAGCTCATGCGACTGCCTTCTGTTTCTGAACCTGAAGTGCCATTGCGATTCACCGCAGCTTTCCGAGCTGCAGACCGTCAAACGCGTCTGTAGGCATGTCCTGTCCAGCGCCCGGGTTCCACGGCAGACGGGCAGCCGCGTTGTGCAGGCGTCTACTTCTCCGAAGACAGCTCGGGTCAACGAGACGCCCCGACATGGGCGGGAAGATGGTATTAATCTGGGGTTCGCGGGGTACAAGTGGCTTACAGTCACGATACATCGATACGATCCTTTGTCCTGGAGGCAATCACACCCCCCGGAACTCTATCCTGGATGGGTGGGAGGGAACAGGCCATTCTCACACTCTCCATACATGCGGCATCTCGAAAAATCCCTCACGGCTGGTCTGCACCATTATGGAGGATGGTGAGGATGACGACCTTGTTTATGTACGAATACTCGTGATTTGCCAATCATCCTCGCAGTCAGGCTCTTTGCTGTATTCGTACCAGATACTTTGGCATTGATGGTCAGTTCAGTCTGTCCATGCTGTACACCATCCCGCCGTCGCAAAGCTCTGCGGCTCAATACTCGGTCGATGGGTTTCGGACACACGGACACGGACGTGGCATATATTGAACCTTTGCGTCTACGGCCAACACGGTACAACTAGCTATTTGATGATTTCGTTATCGTCAGAATTTTCCATCTGCATGGAGGTTGCCATCGCCAGGTGGGGAATTGGTCTGCAGCTTCCGACATGATCAGACTTTTTTTTTTTTGGTGGCCATGCCGAACGAGAGAGAGCGCGAGAGCTTATCTCTCCTCTCATGTGGCGAAGAGTGATCGCCCTGGGGCCCAGATCTTCTAGAAGGGTTCTCCAAACCCCAAGCCCGAGTCGGCGACGTCTGCATCCCTAGTGGGTAGTCTGGCCCCCTCCGACGATGATCGAATGCCCAGAGAGAAGGAAGCAGCTCAGTCCTTGATGGGCGACGCTTGGCGTTCTGCCAAAAAATGCCACCATTGACCATTCATGGTCCGTCGAGCCTGTCCCTGGCGTGCCCAGCTGAGGGGAAAGCCCGACTGGGAGACGGGCTTGTGTTGAAATATGCCTGCAACTGGGCACTCCATCATTTTTGGGGTTTGGCTTGGCTTGTTCGGCGATTCCCATTGCTTGACAGGACGATTCTTCGTCGTGGTGGTGGGAAGTGTGCCAAGCCAAACGTATTTAAAGTTTTCGTTTGCTTTGCCTAAGGACACTCAATTGCGTGTCCGTTTCTGTTATGATCTGCCTGTAGCCTTTGGTAGATCCAAAGTCATGGCAACCAAAAAAGTCCACCCACTGCGATGGGTTAAAGTAGCTGCTGGCACGTTTTGGCATGTTGGTTGAGTGAGGTAGCACGGTAAGTCCGACGTCGATTTGAGGAGATCAGCAATCCCATACCTCATCCGAATATGGGCTGCTTAATCTGGTGAATCTACATGGGCGTCCCTTGGAACAGATCTCCCCCCTCCGTGCCCCCCGTAGTTCGGACGGAGGTCCAAGGTAGGTGGTCAGAGGGAAAACGATCGGAGGAATCGAGAGCGAGAAAGCCGCCGCGCTCAACGTGCGGCGAGCGGGTTGATCGCGGACTGTGCGCGGTTGAGGGGTGGGAGGACGCGCAGACTGGGGAACGTCACTCCGGTTGCCGGAGCTTCTTTTTGCTGCGGGTGTTTGTTGAGGACGGGAGGAGGACGGATGTGTATGTTCAGCATCCGAGTACGGCTTCCGGTCGTACATGTCCTCGCGCCTTGTGATTCTTTTTGTGTTTTCGAGAGATTCAGGTGGGTGACTGTCTGATCTTGGGGTGGAAGGAAGGTTGAGCGCGGATGTCGTCTGGGAGGTGTAGCTTTAGAGTGAGCCGTAGCTTGAGGCTTCAAATCTGCCTATGTATGTGTATGTGGCTGCTGCTTGTAGCTGTAGCTGGCAAGACTACTGTGCTCGAAGTTGAATATGGACAACGAAGGCGTACCTTTTACAAAACCTTCCTTCGTGGCAGAAGCTATTATGGTTACTCGATTCACAGACAACAAGGCTGCTGAGAGAGTTTTTAGTCGGGACCGCTGCGGGTTTCTCTCCCGAGACGGGGAGTTGAAACTTTGACGTGGCGTTCTGCGGGCGATGAACTCTGCGGTTTAGGTTTTTTTTTTTTTTGTTGAATGTGCGATTTGGAGTGTAAACATGTTACGGGACAAGGTGATGGGGTAAGAAAGGGGCATTTGGTGGTTGTTGTGGCATGTAAGGCTTTCTCGATGAGTGTGGTTACCGTACCTTTCCTTCTCTATGGCCTCGTGAGGGAGATATCCGGAGGCCTGGGTGGAGGAGGGTGGGCGTGCAACCAGGCTCTAGTGGAGTGAGGTCCCGGGTCGGTGATGGATGTGTCTTGTACGTAGGCTAGTATTTCATGGCAGGTTGATAGCTTCCCTCGTAAGAGCTTTTGTGAGTGAGGGACGTTGTGTAGTCTCGGAGAGGGACATGAGATTGCTTGACGGATGAAGGGGGTCCTTATTCGTGTTTACGCTGTGATGGTAAGAGTTTGCGTTATACTTAATGAGTTGTTGTAGAAAGAATGGCTGTTCATCACTTTCTGCAAGCTTATCCTCGACGAGAAGAAATACATAGCGAGGCTTGGAATTTTGAGTTTCTGACGAGGTACATACGTATCAAGAGATCCACTCTCACGATTTTGCTGGTTGCCATTGTATTATTTGGATATGATGTTGTTGTTGATACCGCGCTGACTGGATCTTGGACATCATTCCGGCAATGCGGTGGTCGTCGCAAGAGTTCACGGGACCATGAAGTATCTGAGTGGCGTAAAGGTGTCACGGTTGCAGGACTCAAGGACATTGGGATGTTAGTGAAGGTAAGCTGTCACGTGGATCATGTCCCCTGGTTACGAAGAGCTTCTTGACCCGTGAGTGAGGTTGAAGGCATTGAGAAGAGCTCTGTTCGACGCATATGGTTGTACTATCATCAGGGCATCGCCTCTTTCTTACATGGAGTCTTGATGCGTGATATGAATGGAAGCCGTCATGAGCAGGTCTGTTTAGTCTACGAGGTAAAGGGGAGTTAGATGCGGGCTTCTGCAGCGACTGTGAGGTGAACTCACGTTCAGACGCTTCTCAGTATGTCTCTTCGCCTTGTCAAAGATTTGATATGCTGATATCAATATCATCCGAATTGTAAACGGTCTTCAACCATATTGGAATTAAGCCTCGACTTGGTGGCCATTCAGCAACCCAACTTCGATTTGCCTCTATTCAAAATGACACCTTACATCACGAGGAATCCGGCAGTCTTTCTACTTTCATTGAAGTTATTGGCGCGTCAATCGAGCGTGTTCCACAGCCGTGAAGTGTTGATTGGCGCATCACACTTGGCAGTTTTCCATACCCTTACGTTTGAATCTCAGCTAGCTCCCGTTGGTTTTGCTTTCCTTCCTTTCCAAGGGTTCTAACCTGTGATAGCAAACATGTGTTTGTTTCGAGGGGCGTATAATAGTCCATCCTTGGAGTGAGCATCTGAATCACGCACTTTGGCATTGTAACAATCATCATTTTATAATTGTAGACCAAACGCGAGACCCATTTATCTGAACTCTTAAGATCGATTTAGTTTCCGCCTGGGTAGCGGATTCCGGGGCAAGTGATGACCAGGCTCTATCGGAGAAACCTATCAGTCACGTGGAAAAATTGATAATCACAGACAAGACAGGTCGCGAGAGCTCATTAGGATCTTCCCCGCGACAGCGTGATACTTGACTGGCTCTGTACTCACATTCGACAGTGTCATCCGTGATCAACGGGAATGGGAGGGAGGCTACTTCTGATTATCCCCACACCCAAGCGCGTAAATTCTTCTTTCATAGACTCTGGTACAGAAATCTAAGGTGAAGACCAGATTAGCCGTGTCTCTCCTCCCCTATGATGAATGCATATGGAATATACTTCAGGTAGTGATGATGAGACTTGGGCAGCGTAATAAAGAGCCTTCTCTAGCCACTGACTTGTAAGTAGACCATAAGTATATCGACAAGGTTGACAGTATCCCAGATACACTTTCCGGTGCGATATGGAGTTCCATCAAGGCACAGGAGAAGATCACGCCTTTGACGAGGATATAATCAGAAAATCTACATTCATGTAATAAATGATTGAGGGTCTTCGAATCTTCCCTCGGGTTGAGAAAGGAGCGATCCTTTAACAGACGGCAGTTATCACTACTACACCATCCCAACCATCTCGTTGTACGACTGCTTAGCACTCGGATTGGAATGGACCGGGAGCGCGCCGGTAGAAGCCCTCAGTTGCGATCTCTTGGCATCCTCCTCTGCCTGCCTCTCCGCTGCGCTTAGATTCGCAAAGCCACGACCCCAAGCGGCTATTCTGTACCTCTCCGTCGCTTGAGAATTATCGAATATACTCCGGGCAGTGACACTTAAAGCTGGACAGAGCAGAGAGCCTGAACGCCCACCTCCTGGCTTGTGGAAGCGAGAGTACCAAGATAGACGACCCACGCCCCAATGTCATCGCGGGGGGCTGCTCTCCATCACTCTATCATGCCCCCGACATCACCGTGATAAGCCAATCACACTGCTATAGTCTAGAATCTGACTTGGCAGAACTGTATTTATACCATTTTCGCGTTCAAACGGCTCGAGTTCCATCCATATTGGCCAAAACTCCCAGAATATGAACTGTAAAGGGGGATATTGCGAAGATAGGCACTACAATACTCGGGTCAGCCTACCCTTGGAGCAAAGCCTAGTGATACCCCTCTCGTGATGGAAGTGTTTCTCATGGAGTCCCTACCTTCCAGGTGATTGGGACAGCTCAAAATCCGGCAACCCGGAAAAGAAAGACTGGGGGCCTTCAGGTGTACGGATTTCATCACTTTACTTCCATGAGGACATCTCAAAAAAAAAAAAAAAGTATATCATCACACGCTCGAGTGTAAACTCTTCTGCGTTCCATGAATTTCTTCCATGTCTGCCTTGCCTATGTTTAGTTCCCTAGTCGCTAATTGCCTCGCAGACTACTCCAGTCGATGATACCATGCTCTTGAGATACCTTTACATCACTTCAGCCTCATGGACAGACAAAACCCAGAAGCTTCAGAGAAGAATTCTTGGCGTTCCGCAAGGTAAAAGAGTCGGAGAAGTCTCTCGTAGGTAGATTTCACACCCGTTGAAGGCGGCACCCCGATTCCCCGAGACAACTTCACATTTCCCCTTTCGCGTCCAAGATAGGTAGAACATCAATCCGGCGAGGATAATGGGGATATCTTGTTGATGTTAAGCCTGCTCCTCCCTCACCTCAAACCAATTTCCTTCACACGTGAGCTCTACCCGAGCCTGAACTCCAACCACGTCTCGCATCGTTTGGCACAAGCAGTACAGTCTCCAGCGCATCTCCAGCAGCCAAAGGGCCTATTCCAATAACGCGAGGCGCTTATCACTCCATCAAGGCTCAGAACTACCGTCAGGTAAGTACCATCCTATCTACATAGGAATACCAAAATCATACCATTCTCTCAACGAAGCACCGGCGAAGTTTCCAACATGAGATCTTGTCTGCTACGCACCAGGGTGAACGATAGAGATATCGGTCGAAAGAACGCCCGTCACGCTTTTCATTACACATTCCGTCATGATTCTCACATATCAAAAAGATAGGACTCATGAGTGGTGTATACACACCCTGACTTGGATAGAGATAATGCGGATTTTATACCGTCTCGACTTTGTAGTCTACTGAATTCTCGTAAGTCGCCATTTGTCAAAGTTCCATAATCTAAGTCCCCGTAATCCAATGACATAGGAAAGAAAGCCCATCGTCGCCCTGACACACCCGTTGCCCAAAAACGTTCCCATAAGAAAAAGGAAAAGCAACACCGAGAGAGGAGCAGATGAATGATCCGCCCGACTATACTCCCATTGTGAAATCGTGCTCGATACCAGGCGTGACGCTGGCCATGAACTACAGCAAGTTAGCATCATCATTACCCTCGCAAACTTCGCCCACATCAGAACATACCTTGAGGAAAACAACCAGATACTGATCCACCCGGATCGCAACCTCCTGCTCGTCAACCTCGCTCTGCTCAACCTCCTCCCACTCGCCGTCCTTATCGGCAGCGGCCTGAGCATCCTTGACATCCAGCTTGCCCAGCTCGTCAACGAGTCCCTCCATGCCCTGGTCCCCACCGACGGCCTTGCCGGCGCGCAGCTTCTCGCGCCGGATGCGCAGGGCCCCGTCGGCGCGGTCGAGCATCGTCTTCATCACGGACGCGTGCTTGCACGGGTGCACGCTCGCCATCTTGATGTTGTTGGCGAAGAAGGGGAAGTCCTCGAGCGTCACCGTCTTGTCCTTGTAGTCGCCCACAATGTCGTCCATCATGGCGTGCGGCGGTAGCGGCTGGCCGTTGGGCGAGTAGCCCGAGAGGTATAGGCGGGGTGTGCGGTAATACGTTGAGTACATGATATAGAGGGTGTATGTCCGCCGGCCGCTGTGAAGCGCGAGAGGTTAGCAATGTCTTCTCAAGAAGAAGCCTCTACACGATCAGTACCTGTTCTTTCCATTGTCTCCTGCATCGCGGATGATGGCCTCGTCGTCATCTTCATCCTCCATATCCGGAATCTCATCGTCATCCTCCACAACCTCCCGGTCTCCCACATTTCCTGAGTCGTCCACCGTCCGCACCTCCTTCACCTTGAGCGGCTGCGAGCTCGCCAGCCCGCCCGTGCGAAGCCAGCCATCTTCATCGTCGTCGCCGGTCCCGGAGCTCTTGCCGCCCTCCACAACGGCCTCCTCGTGGCCCGCATCGCCGGCAAAGTCGTCGTCGAGTCGGCGGTTGCAGGGGACGTTGCGCGTGACGAGGAACTGCTTCCCAGGAGGCAGGTAGCTGACGCGGCGGCTGTCGGCGTCGGCGTCGCCCCAGGACCAGGTCGGGAACTTGTAGACGAGGTAGTCGCCCGCGGCGACGAACTCTTCGGGGGTGATTTGGCCCGTCTGGCGGAAGGTGGACTTGTGCGATACCGGCGTGTACCGGTCGCGGAGTGTGTTGACGGTCGAATAAAGAAGATTCATCGTTGACGTCGGTCTGTGTCGTATAGGTAAGCTTCGGTATATCGAGTCGGTGACGCCGTGTGTTGAATGGTATCGATGGTCTCTAAGTGTATAGTTGCTTTGTGGTGATGCGATCGTCTTCAGTGGTGTCCTTCTTGCTGATGAGAAGGATGTTGTTGGTGAGGGTAAGAAAGACAGCCTAGTCCTCCGCCGACTCTGAGAATGATGTAGTTTGTCGTAGTTCCGCCTGATGTCGATGAGTGGGAGTCAAGCTCGTGGCAGCTGTTCAGGGCGATCACATGGATGGCGGGGTTGTCTCACGATTGGACAGGGAAGATGGTGGCGGGGTTGCCGCCTGCCTGCGCTAGTGCTGGGGGATCTGCTTATCTTATCGGCCGTTGGAAGCTACCTACGGAGTACTGTAGGTACTAATCCGCTTAGGTACGACAGACAACAGCTTCCTCAACACAGTTGAGCCATTGAAACCGGTGGAAGGGCACGGATCGCGCTGGTTCGAGCTGTTTTGCTGCAGCATAGGCTGACTCTGATGTAGCCTGAAACTCACGCCTGGGTGGCTGTTGAGTCGCCCTTTGACTACATTGGAAGTGTGTTCCTCGGCTTTTGATCTAGAAACTAGCTAGACAAAGCTGTCGGAAACCGGAGAACAAGGGAACATCTAACATGTAGCTTGGCATTCTCATCTCGAGGGTGGCCCTCGCCATCTCGGTTATGCAATTTGGACCAGAGTCAGTGTCATGGAAGCTTCACTTTGACTGGACAGCATGCCCAGAGACGAATGGTATTCAGCCGCGACAGGATTTGTGGTATCTTTGAGTCCTAGCATCCTATCCCTCCTCCTCACTACTAACTTCCTCCCCTGCTTCTATGGCCTCCTGCCGCCGCTTTGCTGCGCGCTCCCTCTTTCGATCCAGCAACTTCTTTAACCTCGAAGCACCATTGAAGACGCCGTTCGTCCCTGACCCGCACGCGGCGCATGTGGGGTCCTTCCTGTACCTCTTCAACGCGCAAGGCTCGCAAAAGTAGTGACCACACCTCGTGATGATCGGCGCCTTGTAAGGCTCCCTGCATATGATACAGGCGAACGGGATATTCTCCAACATGGCCTCCTCGTCGTCATCATCGTCGTCGGCCTTGGTGCGGTCCGCGCTGGCAACGACGGTTCCCGCAATGTTCTTCTTCCCCTTTGTGACGTTCTCCCACTCCTTGTCGAGCTGCCATCCTTGCTTATAGTCTTCTCTGGCGTGGAGGTACTTGCAGTTATCGCCGAAGCCACAGAAACCGGTTTGTTTGTACTAAAGATTGTTAGTATCTATGATTTGAGGAGGTAACGTGATGAGCAACTTACGTCTTTGCAAACGTCTGGTGCGAAATCGGTGACTGTGATTGTCCTGATGTTGGTGGGCGCCTTGATGGGGCCAACTGTCTTGTTTGGGGCGTCTGGGTTCTTCGTGATGAACGAAGTCTGGTTCGCCAGCCCCTTGTATGTTCCGTCGGGAGCCTGCGATGTCTTTGCGACAGCTCGCGAGCTGCCTAGTAGGTTTTTTGATGAAAGAGCGTCCTTGCCATCCTCGTCGTACCAGTTGCTTTGTTTCGTGGCATCGTTGGAGTCTGATATGGGCACGCTGCGATCGGCGGTAAATACTGTGGCGGAAAGGTCTTGTTTCGACTTGGCGATGTCCTTGGACGAGGCCGTGATGGCGCCTGCCTTTGTCTTTCGCCTCTTGACCCGCTGGCCTGCTTCGTCTTCGGAGGATGAGTAGTCGGAGTCGGAGTCGCTGTTCACGGGCGGCGGTGTTGCGGGTCTTTTGCGGATGTTGGCTTTGCCCTTTGCGCCGCGCCGCTTGAAAATGGCGACTGGCGCATCTGTTGCTGGGGCGCTGTCGGCCATGTTTGATGGGTCTGGGCCTCGATCGCGAGTGTACGTCGGTGTTTGAAGATGGACGGAATATTCTGATTTCGTTGATACAGATTTTCTAGTGACTCTTTGATGATCGGCAGCTAAGGCTAGGCAACGTCGGTAGTTGAGAGAGAAGTTTGGGGTTACCCTTGGTCAACTTTAGCTTTGATGGCGATCATCAACACTCGGGTTCAAGAATACCTTCTAGAATGATCAGGTCAAGCCACAGGGCTGACAAATTTCGTGGCTTGAGCGAAAGACCCATATGGAGGGGCGAAACCAATCAGATGCCTGGACTGATACGGCTTAGCGTTCTAGGGCGGCGCCGAGTCCAGCTGCCAGTCAGGAAAATCGGGAGGCTGGAAGACCAGGGACCGATTGGTCAGAAATAGGAGGGACTAGTACACAGAAGGTTGCAGGGATGAGCTTCCCAGCTGGGTTAGAGCTGGCTCATGGTGGATGCGAGCTAAGATTGGCCAAAGTTATGCGACCAAAACGAGTTTACCCCAAGGAAACATCTGGGCGCGTCTTCACGGGCATTGTTTTGAAGCGATGCGATATGGCGGTATGGATTGGCGGGGAAGAGCCCATAGATGGGCGACGATGGATGGCCGATGCCTTGTCGATGCCATGCCATGCCATGCCATGCCATGCCATGCCCTGCGATCTGACATGACTGATTGCTTGCATGAGCACATGTATCCGTACTAGCTGGGAAGCGGTATTCTTTGGTGGGGTCGGGATGGATGCTGTTCTTGTGAACTCTCTCGCGGTCTCACTCACTGTGCTGTCTGCCGTGCGCGTGAGAGAATGCTGCCATGTTGTTGGAATGGGCTGTCTGGATTGGCTACAGATGCGGCTGTAGCAGCGGCAGCCACACGGATCGTCTGTCTGCGAGAGGCAACGGCATTGGACGATCGAATGGAGACGTCTCCTGGGTGGTGCATGAGGCCATGGTAAAACAACAAAACAACTGCATGTTGAAGCCACGAGTTGATTTTGGATTGCAAAGCTGACCTTCTGCATGCAGTAGGTAGCTGCCTGTTCCAGGTAGCTGACTGAATAAACTCACCTCCTGCATTTGTTTCCTAGGTAGAGTGGCAGAGCCCCCCATGCTATGCATTGCCCGCAATCTTGAGCTGATGTCCCCATTTTCTCGTCCCTGCAAATGCCGCCCCAGTGGCTTTGCTACGTCTCGATGAATGGATCCCAATGGTCTTCGCTAAGGCATGTTGAAATTGAGGGCTTTCAGATGAATGCTTAGAGCTGAGCTGGGCGAAGATGATGACGATGATGGGCAGATGGCTAGCTGTTCGCCTGGGTACCTAAGGTAGGATCCTAGGTACTTGACCCAACCAAGGTCAATTTACATACATAAGACGGGTAGATAGTAGCACGGCAGATCATGGATAACGACGGGAATATGGAGAGAGGTGCGGCTTAAGTCACTGCTAGTGTGATGATGTGTTGTTGAGCTGCTGTCAATTGATGGCCTTGCACGCCACAGCTAGGGATCATAGCACATTATCGATAAGCACCCGTTATTCGTACAACAACAAGGCCATTATCCACCCAGTCCGCGAACGGATGCAAATGACACGAATGGGGCAGTCGCAAGGCAAACTGTCAGGTACCCGAAGTTGTGCAGTTGCACAGTCATAGGTGCAGGCATTCTGCAGCTCCACGGTGGAACCCAAAAGACAGCGAGACCTGGCAAGCACCCTGCGTTCTGGACAGGCATGAGGGGTGGAATTGACAGGCACAGGCACAGGCACAGGCTCAGGCTCAGGAAGAGGAATAAAATGGATAGTCGTTGAGATGGGTCTCGCCTGTTGCTATTCCCAGTCAGGAGACGGGGGGAGCACAACTCTCGTCTAAACCACACTCCATCTGGGTCCTGGACTCCTGGCCACCTGGTCTAAAATCACTTGTATCCATCCATATACTCCTTACACAGTGGTTGTGCACGCATGCCGTAACGCGTGAAGGGGGAGAAGCGCATCGCTGGTGGTGAATAACAATGCCCTTGTTGGGAATATTCTCATGCTCTACGCAGTACTGTGTACTGTATTATGGAAGTGTGGATTGTGTAAGGAAGGTATGAAGGAACAATTTGAGGATACTTGAAAGTGAGAGAGGATCCCCTCGTGCCTTCCTCTTTCCACTCTCCTCCTTCTCTCTTTCGCGACTTTGCCCTTTCCCAAATTAATTACTAACCCCTTCCACGTTCTCTCCCTCCATCCCTCCTTCTCCTCCCTTTCCCCTCCTCGTCGTCCGTCGTGTGTCTGTCTCTTTCCCTTTGCCGACGCCGACACCCGCCGACCGTCGCCTCCGTCCTTCCTTCTTGTGCTTCCATCCAGTCGCGTCACTCTACTCAGACGGGCATCGACCTCGTTGTTCCTCCGCGACCTCGAGTCTCCCCTTCAATTTGGAGCATCGCGCCAGGAGAAAAAGACACAAGACTAGCAACAAATAGCGTCACAGGAAAGAAGAACCTTGTTGCCGAATAAAGACGAGGACGTAATTGTCTATCGTCTTGATCATCGCGACTTGGACCTCTCTCTTTCTCCTGCTATCCGTGCTGGTTCGGGGGCATCCCATCTTTCTTTCCACCTTTTTTTTTTTCTCGTTCTAATTTACACTGCCTTTTTTCTATTCAAGCTTTTGTTACTAGTTACTCCCACCTTCCCTACAATCGCTCTAAAAACGAACAGGTATCTTACCTGCAGCTACCCGACCTTATTCCTTCGCTATCTTTCTACGGGCCAATACCCGTTCCGTTCTTTCTTACCTAGTTTTTGGTCCGACTCTTCGCGCCTTCCTCCGTCTGCCGCCGCCGCCGCCACCTCCGCGCTCCGCTATACGTCAATCTTCCCGACCGATCGGTTTGCGACTCTGCTCAAGCCAATACCACCTGGTGCTACTTTACCTTATCTTACCATATAGGTAGATCTAGCTACCTTAGGAGAGTCAGAGGGACACCCCCAACGGTCCTATCTCGTCACCTCACTGTTCACCGCCGCGCGTGGTCGCCTCGTATTACCGGCCCGTAATCATCTGCAGAATAGTCTCAACTGAGACCTCAGCGCTCTTCGAAAACGCCAGCTCATTTACTTTTTCTCCCCTGGCATCTTTCGCCTCTATCCGCCGACACTCACGGGAAACGGCAGCCGTTTCCGTAATAATTCCATTGTCTTATTCTTTGCCGCCGTTTTTTTGTTTCTCACTGTCCCTTTCCCCGGACATAGGCCGCTCTTGCACTGCACACAGTCACGCAACACACACCAACAAACCCTGGTCGTTCGTTGCCGTCTCCAAAGCACCGACCGCTCTTAGGTTCTTAAACCTTCCGCCATCTGGTTCTTCCTTCTGCCCATCGGATCCTGCGGCTTTCTAAAAAGGTACGTAAAAGTGTCTGTGTGTCGAGAAGGGGAAGAGAACCAAAAAAAAGGGACGAAAAAGACAAGAGAAAAAAAAAAATATAGACCCCCCAAAAACACAACGCCGACCTGAAGTTCTGGCGCAAGAAAACAAGAGCAACCACAAGGAAAGGAAAAGGTGCGGGCGCGCCTAGCTCATCCCACCACCCCGTCCCATCCTCTTAGCTGCATCCTCCG